TGAGCACGATCACCCACTCTGCTCACATGGACATCTTCCAGAACCTGGCTGTGGACTTGGACACTGAAGGTGAGTGAAGCCAGCTAGTTCTCAGAGTCAAGTTTTGTGCACTTTTTGTCACAGTCTGGTCCCAAAAATACTTTAAGCCACAATAGAGAATGTTCTGTCAATATGGTTATGGGTCTGGCTGGTTATTTTATCTTGAATTGGATAGTATTTGCTCAATGCAGAAGACACAGCAAAGCGTAAAGGAAAAAAATCATCCAGAATCCTTACCACATCAGTTAATATTTCAGTATGTATGATTGTAGCATTTTTCTTTTTTAGTGTGAAAATAAACGTTCTTTTTACTAGCCTCTCTTTAAAAATAGGCTCACGTTACTTTTTTTGTTAGCCTGCCTTTTATCCCAACATTTACTGATGCCTCTTTGCCAGGCAATATGTTAAATATTAAATGTGTAAAGATTAATGAATAGAACTTCCCCTACCTGCTCTGCAAAAAAGTTCACAGTATAATCCTATTGTAGGTTTGCATCTTGCTTGGTTGAACTACCAATTTTGGTGTTCTGTATAGTAGGTGGTGACCAACGATATAGTGCTGCTCAGCCTAACACGCATACACTTTAGGAGGATGCCTACTTTTTTTAACTTCACTATGGATTTTTGAGAGGCTAATTTTGAGTATATACTACTTGCCTATTTGTAGGAGGGGGTTTGAGGCAGCTTAAAATCAAGATTTAACACAAATGAATACCATTACGTCCAGAACCCAACAAAAAAAGTGGATAGCCTTTAAGTGTTAAAGCTCACTATGATGGCCTTACAAACCTCAGTAATATCAAGCAGAGGGAGACAACCAAATCCAATTAATACTTATTCCAATAGTTTAAACTAGCATTTCTCCAAGTATAGTCTGGGAACCCTTAGTGGATTATCCCCAAGACCCTTATAGAAGGATCGTGAGGGACTTCCCTGGTGGTCCAGTGGGGAAGACTCCACGCTTCCAATGCAGGGGGCTCTGGTTTGATCCTGGGCTGGGGAACTAGATCCCGCACGCATGCAGCAACTAAGGAGCTGGCATGCCGCAACTAAGGCCCAGTGCAGCGAAAAATATATAATAAATATTTTTTAAAAAAGAAGGGCTGTGGGGTTAAAACTATTTTAATAATAAGACATTTGCTTCACACTCATGTTGTCACAAGTGTACAGTGACTGTTTCCAGAGGCCACATGAAATAACCATACTGGAACAGATTGAACATAAGGGCAGAAATGAGAATCCAGCAGAATGTGAAACAGTGACACTCTTCTCTAAGTTTCTTGGGGGGAAATACTTAAATTTTTTTATTAACAGGTTATATTAATATGCAGTAGGTCTCTTATTTTTAAATAGACTAATTTTTTTAACTACAATTTTTTTAATGTGAAAAATAGTGAAATAAAACCCACAGAAATGAACTCTGGGGCCCTGAGCACCGCTGGTTGAAAGCAAAGGATAATTTGAGAACCTGTATCAAGAAATGCAAATCCATCCAGTCAGAATGTGATTTGTCTTCTCACATTGGCCTTTCAGAGCAAATTGTCGCTAAGCTGGGTTTTCTTAATATCTAGGTCGGTATCTCTTCTTGAATGCAATTGCAAATCAGCTGCGGTACCCAAATAGCCACACTCACTACTTCAGCTGCACCATGCTCTACCTTTTTGCAGAGGCCAACACTGAAGCTATCCAAGAACAGATCACAAGGTAAGAGAGAGGTCTGTTTTTCAGAGGGTACTAAATGGAGTCTCTTCCCCTTTATTATGAATTCTGAGTGTTTTTTTCCCTATGCATTCCATGTTCACTGAGCATCTTAAATGTGTTAAATAGTTGTGAACGAAATGGGCATGGTTCTACCCTCCTGATAATTAGTCTGATGGATGCAAAAAAAATCACAAGTAGAGAATTATTAATCACTGCTGAAACAAAAAGTTTTCGACAAAAGGCACAGCATTTTGATAGATCAGGAGTTTTTCTCAGGTGGTGGGGTCAGCATATTTAACCAGTCCTGAAACACCCAGGCCTTTTAAAGGCCATGTTAAAGAACTTAGACTTGTCATTACCTCTGGGTTGGAAGGTTTTAAGCAGGAGAAATAACAGGATCATACGTGTGTTTTACTAACAATAGTTAGGAATCTGTTGCAGATTGCTTGGACTATGTACAGCATTGGAGATCAGGAAATGGGTACATCCTAGTGAGAGAGATATACACAAACATAAAAAACTGGACCAGACTTGTTAAACTTGCCCCTTCACCTAATAGTAGTTTCTGAGCATTAGTATTCCTTAGGTTTATATACTAAAAATTAACTAGTGTTTTATTATTAGATGTTTAGATGGTAAAAGTCCTATTTTGTGGACTATATAAAGCTTTAGTGAACTTCCTCGAACTTAAATCTTTGTTCTTGTGCTTTATTACATCCTTAGGGTAAATTTAGAAGTAAAATCGGTTAGATCAGGGGATGTGAAGAATTATCCCACCCAATTTACATATGTACTACTAGTAGTAAAATTCTTATTTCCTATTTACTTTCATTGAGTATGTATTCTTTAAGCGATTATCTTCTGTGTCATGTAATCTATTATCTATCCTTTTACCTTAACTTAGTCTTGTAGGCTCAGTAATGGGAAGAGGAGGGATTCAAACCCACGTTTGTTATGTAATTCTAGAATCCATTTAACCATTCTATAGAAAAGACTTAATCCACCTGCCTTTTGTAAAGCTAACAATTTTTGCATGTAGTGTAATAATCAGGGAAAAAGTGTTAGGAAAAAAGACAAATGGAGAAGTGGTCGTAAATTTGTATGTTTCTCTGTGCATTGACTAACTTTTTCTTCCCTTCTCCAGGGTTCTTTTGGAACGGTTGATTGTAAATAGGCCACATCCTTGGGGTCTTCTTATTACCTTCATTGAGCTGATTAAAAATCCAGCGTTTAAGTTCTGGAACCACGAGTTTGTACACTGTGCCCCAGAAATTGAAAAGTGAGTTAAAAGTAATTTTTAAATTGTTACATTCTTAAGACAGAAGAATGAGAATCATTTGATGGCTCCAGCTTGGGTGGGTGAATAAGAAGGCCATAGTAACCAAAATGAGACGCAAGGTTTTAGGCCTGAAGTTTTCTCACAAACTTGTTAACTGTCTCCATTCTTCAGGTTATTCCAGTCTGTCGCACAGTGCTGCATGGGACAAAAGCAGGCTCAGCAAGTAATGGAAGGGACAGGTGCCAGTTAGATGGAACCACATCTCTGTTGTAAATTTGTCAGCCTGGAGGTCCCACTGTACCAAGTTCATAAACTGGCTGAAGATCCTTTCAGCTTTTCCTGACTTTTCCGGCCCTTTGGTCTCGGGTATCTGCCCCAATTACTGTTTGGGTCAGCTTCCTGTCTACTTGGACACGTTCCAAATTTAAATGCATTTTTTTGACTCCTGGCCAACATTTAGAAGATGCTGTGAATATCATTTTGAACTTGTGTAAATATATGAAAGAGAAAACCTTTGTCTGGAACTTCTTGGGTTTGTGCAAAATGTGTCCAAGGCAAGTAGATAAACTGGTGGTACCTACTTCCCAGCTTATAAATTCAAGAGGCTGCTGATGCCATGCACTTGGGGGGGGGGGCGGTGGGCATAGCTCCATGTCATCTGACATTCCTGGTGTCCCAAAGAATAGCAGGAAAGCCAGTTTAAATACTATGTGACTTATTTTTTTAAAATACGGATGGGGACCTTGAAAATCACGAAGTTGTTAAAAAATGTGGATGTGTAGAATTTGGTATGCCAGGAAACATGGGAAGAGTTCACAATTGAGATCCCGTGGATTTTTATTTTGCCTCTTCCCCAAATCTAAAGCTGGCTGTTGGCAGAGCATCATTCTCTTTTCTGCTGGAGAACACATCCCCTTGGGCCCTGTGAGACACTTCTTTTTATAAAGGGAAGCCAAACCAGGCCTAAAGTTCCCCCATCTCTCTCCTGATAACTTGTAAACTGTGCGGAAAGGAACCAAATATTATGAATTGCCCTTCCCCATTATCCCAATGAATGGCCATACAGACTAAGCTGAACAACAACAAAGTCAAAAGGACCAATACAGCCCCTTTTGTAAGGATTTTGAATGTTTTGTAAATGTATTGGTCCATGTGTTGTATTTTGTAGCCTTCCTAGTTCCTGGGCTTTAGCTTCCCTACTTCTTGTATGTGTATGCATACTGTAGTCGAACATTAAAGTCATGACACACACACGAGTCCACTGTGCCTTTCTCAGTAGCGGCCAGTGCTGGTGGTGAGGAGGAAAGTGGACCACGCAGCCTTCCCGTTGGGGCCACTGGGGAACACTAACTTTTGCTGAATGGTATGTTTTCCCACTACCAATCTGGCATCTTTAAACAAGGAAGTATTTTTGTGTAGTGTTGTTTGCCTTTTCCTTTCCAACAGTGAAAAATTATTGGAGCAGGTTTCTATGATTAAACAGTTTCAAAATGCCCATTTAAAAACATCCTTTACCCTCATGGTGTTTCAATATTAACATCTTTATTGGAGTATAATTGCTTTACAACGTTAGATATAATTTTTAAAAGAAAAGGAGTAGGTATATATTTAAAACTTACCTAATATATACCTTACCTTTCATGGACTGTCACGTTTTATGGCCAGAGAGGACAAAAAGGTTCAAGATTAAGATTAAATAGAAATCTTACATGGGGACTTGAATGTCATTGGTGTCTTAAGGGTGAGTTGTGCCTTCTAGGCTGCTTAAGGAATTTAAACAATTGCTCAGAGTCCCAGTGACACAGCTTATTAAATCCTCCAACAGGAAACAGTTGTTAACTAAGGGAAAGTGACTTGTTCAAAATAGACCTGGATTTGAACCAGGTCTACTTTCAAAGTCCATGTTATTAAATGCCAGGCTACAACAAAATGTTATCACTATCACATTTCTGCTAACTTTGGATCAAGCTGAGAACCAAACAGCTATAATAAAATTTATTAGTGTTCATAACAATAAGCAGCAGTTCCCACATCTACTGTTCCCAAATCCTTCAGCATGTCACTCTTACCTTGCAATTCATCCTAGACAACAGTTTTGCTACTTTTCCTTTTGGTATTTAGTATGAAATGCAAAACAAAAGGTCCAAATTATCCTTCTTTTCAAGCATCAACGTGTACCAGCTTAGCAGAAAGTTCTTCTCTTGGACATTCCTTCAGGAAAAAGGGAACCTGCTAGTTAGTCAGTTCCAACAATTGGTGTAAGATCATCTTCTGACCATAACGAACCTGTAAGGCTTGCTGTTCCCTCCAGCTGAGTGTGGCGTAGACCTCCTTACTACTGAGTAAATCTTGCTCAGTTTTTAAGTCTGTGGCATAGGTTTGCAGGGTCAATAAAACACTGTCCCGAAGAAGCTGTCTCCATGATGCTTTGAGTTTGGGGATATTTGTGATTGTCAGGCTGTCCTCTTCCCTTTTATCATCTCCCCATCCATCCTGGTCTTTAAATTCTCTGAACTCCTCAGCAGGCATGCACAGTACCTAGAAGCAACCATGGGGCCCTTTACTTGCATATTTCCAAAATTGAGAAGCCAACCTGTCCTGACAGCATTTAAGCGTCTTCTCCATCCATGCCACCTTTCCTCGCACCTAGATCTAAATACTTATTTTGAGCATTTACCTTGAGTGTCATGGCCAGTTCCTCTTCTGTCAGCACTTCTTCCCGCCCAATCACAAAGGCTCCCTCTTCCCCTACCATCTCCAGTTTGCATAAAAAATCCCAGCGTTCATACAGTAGGAGCCTTTCAGCTTCAACTTTTGTTCCTGTAGACAGAAAGTACTGCTGTGAAAGTCAGTATACCCAAGAGCTCATTTCTCCTTAGTCTACAAAAAGGGAGCAACTACTACAGAGCACCTGGGGCAGGGATGGAGACATACACCAGTGTCCAAGGTTTAATCACTCACCCTGTAACGCTGCTTCACGAACCGTCACCATCTGAATGTCAGCCGTGTCATCCGTGTTGTCAGGATACGGTTCAGTAAAGCCATACATGTGAATCAACTGCCAGTTAGCCATTTGCCCATAAGTGTTGAAAATCTCATGGCCTTTAGGAATGGGCTGAGTGGCCACCATCCGAAGACAATTCTGGGGTGGAAGGGAGAAGCTGGGGCCAGGCCCTTCCCAGGCCAGCCTCCTGAAGATTACTTCCCTCCTAGGAGGGTACAGTTCCCTCCAGCAGATATAGTTCAGTGATGGTGGGACTGACACTATACCTACCAACATTCTACCTTTAGTTCTTGTTAAGATTCTGTACTGTAGAATAAAAGTGGTGAGACTTAAAGGTCAAAGGTCATCCCCATGGTTTTAGTACGTAATCTTTGTTCAGTCATCTCACAAACACTTAAAAAGTTACTAGCTGGCTTCCCTGGTGGCGCAGTGGTTGAGAGTCCGCCTACCGATGCAGGGGATACGGGTTCCGTGCCCTGGTCCGGCAGGATCCCGCGTTACGCGGAGCGGCTGGGCCCGTGAGCCATGGCCGCTGAGCCTGCGTGTATGGAGCCTGTGCTCCGTGGCGGGAGAGACCACAGCAGTGAGAGGCCCGCGTACCACAAAAAAGAAGAAAAAAAAAAGTTGCTAGCTTTGGAGACTTCTCTGGTGGTCCAGTGATTAAGAATCCGCCTTCCAATGCAGGGGACGCAGGTTCAATCCCTGGTGAGGGAACTAAGATCCCACATGCCACAGGGCAACAAAGCCCACACACCACAACTAGAGAGAAGCCTGTGCACAGCAACAAAGAGCCCGCGTGACACAACTAAGACCCGACACAGCCCCCCAAAAAAGCTGCTAGCTTTACAGAAATGAAGAATTAGGCACTTCCCTTGCAGTCCAGTGGTTAAGACTGCTGGGGCCCAGGTTCAATCCCTGGGCAGGGGGAACTGGGCTCTGTGCAGTGTGGCAAAAACAAAACCCAAAAAACCAAGATCAAAGTAGGAACAGCAAATGGACACAAGCATTTAAAAGTAATAGCCAGGGACTTCCCTGGTGGCACAGTGGTTAAGAATCTGCCTGCCAATGCAGGGGAGACGGGTTTGATCCCTGGTCCGGGAAGATCCTACATGCCACGGAGCAACTAAGCCCGTGCACCACAACTACTGAGCCCGTGTGCCTAGAGCCCGTCTTCCACAATGAGACGCCCACACACCACAACGAACAGTAGCCTCCCGCATGCTGCAACTAGAGAAAGCCTGCATGCAGCAACAGACCCAACACAGCCAAAAATAAACTTATTTTAAACAGCCATTTCCTAATTTTTAATCCCATAAACTTAGATCTTTTTTTGCAACTTTCCACTTAGCAAATAGAATTGATACAAACACAGCCTTGGTATCATCTTAAACCGGTCTTATGAACACCCCTCTAGTGAAAAGTATTGACACTATGGCTGTTCCAGATTGCTGTCCACAGGGCCCAGAAACAATCTTGGCTCACTAGCACTGCACAGAACAACCAACCTATAGAACCAAATCAGTGAGGGTGCAAGGTTTATCAGAGGATTAACCCCAGCTTTCTTGTAAGGTTTTGAGATGTTTTCAGTTCAGGTGATTTCAGTGGAATACGCAAAGTACACAGAGGAGGAGATAATTCCACCTACACATTTTTAGTATGAGGAGAATGGAGTGTTTAGCTCAACTGCCAGGCCAGCATAAATAACACACCGGTTTGAATCACATGCCCAATCATCCAAGCACATAAGAACAAGAACTGGGACAGATCCACTCACTGGAGAGTATTCTAGATTGGCATTGTGATTGGCTAAGTGGTTTAGTACGTCTGCAGCAGGCACCATCAAAGGGGAGTTTGGCTCCTTTTCATCATCCTCTTCCTCCAGTGGTTCCTGAAAGCTGCCACAGAGAGAACTTTGCTAAAGCCCAGTGCAGGGTGAGAGAGGAGTGGGGTTCACTTTTTTCCCTTCTAGTCCCTCAATAGAGTTCTAAAAAAAAGGATCCTTTTTAAGGCTCCGCTCACTGACCTGTAGGCCATCACAAGAGCCACGAGCTGGCGGTAGAGTTCCAGAGAGCGAACCGTGGGGCTGAAAAGATCGGGGTGGGCTTCCATGAAGGGCAGCACGATGGAATAATACTCGCTGCGGATGCTGGCCAAATCCTTCTCCACAGCCTCGGGTACGCCAGTGCCCTGCAGCAATCGCCGGCGCTCCTCCTCTGGCCTGCAGTGACACCCCCAACCCAGGTTCTTCACACCACCTACCGGGACTAGCGCTTAGAACCCGTGTCCCAAGCGTAGGGCGGTTCGAGCCAGACTACCTACGGTGCTGCCCCTCCTACGGCTCTCACCAGAACATGGGGTGCTCCAAGCGGCCCAGCTCGGGCCACAGCGCAAAGTAGGGGCTCCAGGGCGAGGCCGGGGCCTGCAGCTCGTGCAGCAGCGCCAGCAGCAGCGGCACCCATCCCGACTGGCTCTGCAGCGCGCCTCGCTCTGAGGGAGACGAAGAGGTTAGGGCCCCGGCCGGCCCCGCAGGCCCGCCTCGGCGTCCCACCCCCGCCGGCGTAACCACCTCGCTCCAGCAGGCCGCTGATTGAGCAGGTGTGCTGCGACAGGAGTGCGGCCCGTGGCACCGCGAACAGCAGCTCCCCGGGCTGCACGCTCTCCCGGGCCACCATGCCGTAGCCGGCCACCGTGCCCTGCCGGCTCACCGCCACCTGAGCAGGGAGAGCGGCCGGTCAGAGCTAGACCGCGCCCGCTTCCCCGCCGCGCCCGCCTCCACCCCGCCCCCCACTCACCTTTGGACTCAGCTCCAGTCCTACCCGCCGGCACCAGCTCAGGAAGCTGGCCACCGGGGCCGGGTCCTCGCTGCCCGCAAGCCCTGCCACCTGAGATAAGCAAGCGCAGTGGCGTTGCCTTGCCCCGCCCGGAAGAGCTCGCTGGGGGCGGAGAAGACGGCGGCGCGCGCGCGGAGGAAGGGCCGGGGTTGGGGGAGGGGATGTGGAGTGCGGCAAATGACCCGCGGCAGGCCGCGCAGCCGCGTGCGGGACGGCGCTGCGGACGGGGAAGCGGCAAGGCGCGGCGGAGAGGGGTGCTCCTGCGTCTGCCGCCACAACTCACCCGCCGGCGCTTCGCCTGGGTCGCCATGGTCCAAGGGCGCGCAGCCCCGCGACTCCGCAGCCCAGCGCAGGCGCTTCCGGTGTCCTGGGCAGGACTCACAGGGGCGGGGCCTATGTTCCCGCCCCGGAACCACGTGATGTTCGTTTCGACTTCCACGCGGAAGAAGAGTGGGGGTTTGCACCTGGTCGTACAAGCCCTGCTGAAAACATTCTTGAGGCCGGGTCTCCCCACTTGGGTTAAGAAAACGTGCCGCCGGGTGCAGGAAGATGTGTCCCCTTGCCGCCTTGAGCCTGGTCTGAGCCAGGCACAACCCTTCCCAGTCTTGGTCTGTGACAGTTGAAACCCCTGGGGGTAGAAGTCCGGTTGAAGTGCAAAATCCCATTTCTGGATGAGAAGGGAAGGCCTGGCTGGAGGCCGGCTGGGTGCGCAATTAGAGCAGTTTGTGCAAGTGTTTCGGAGTTGTGTGGTCAGGGCTCCCAGAACTATTGATAGAATAGACCCGCTCAGTTTTTCATCTTTTGCGTAGCACATGGAGGGGCTTATTTTTATTTACTTGCTGCTTTAGTTGCCGACACACAGCAGGAACTCAATATCTATTTATTGGATAAATGGCTGAGTAAATGAATCAGAAATGGTGGTTAAACATGGGGAAATAGCATGCCGTTAAATTTAAGAAAATGAGGCAACGAATATAGAGGTTACAGGTCTGGGTTTTGAAGTCAAATACTGTCAAGGCCACCTCCCAGCTTGGCCTCTTATTAAGGCAAATTCAGTTTCCTCAACTGTGAAACTAAGATAATTAGTACCTACCCTATGGAATTAATGTAAGGATTGGTAAGATGATGTGACAAGATATGGAAATACAGAGATAGATGGAAATGCCTGTCTTCACTCTGAACGGTCAACCCCACCTAAACCCGAGAAGCACCAGCCTCACCAGCTTAAACATTCTGTCTCTTCCAAGGCTTCTCATGATGGGCATGGCATCACCATACTCAAATTCTTCTTAGTTTCTTTATTAGTTTTTCAGCACAGTTAACTCTTTCTACGTTGACAAGGGTTTTTGTTTTACATTTTGTCATCTCAAAGTCTCATGACATCAGGCACCAGAATACACAAAAGTAGGCTCTTCACTTTGTACAGAGAAGAAAATAACAAATTCCATTAACAGTTCACTTTGACCAAAGAAGACACAACCTCCGATGGAAAGCCACACGCCGGAGTACCCAATATACATATATATATATATAATGTATAGATATTTATAGATCTCATCTGAAAGAACACGGAAAAAAAAATCCAAGATTCACAGCGCTATCTACAGTAAAAGGGATTAATTCTACCAGCTTTTCAGTCAGTCACATTCTATATTCAAAGGAAGCACGTGAGTGAACAGAACTAACAGACACTCCACTGGGCTCTATAATGGCTTAAGATGACAGAAGGGGGTGATGTGTGCCAAGGAAATGTGGATGCAGGTGTCCCCTCAGCCCCACACACACCCACCCACCCTCCACAGCCCTGCATTTTTCATTGCTCTCCCCTCTTCTCTTTTTTACTCATTTGAGGGCTTGTGACAACTGATTTAGGCTCAGAGACAAATGGCTTCTGGTTCCTAGGTCAGGAGATTCTACCCAGTAAGGTGGATGAACAGGAAGTATATGGCACAGCCCTGGGCTTCAGCTGGCTGGAAGGGGCTGGGGTGTGTGGGGAGCCTTTCTCCTCTGCCTGGCCCTTGCTCATTTCAGGAAACGTTACCTCCCACCCCAGGACCCAGCAAGCCCCAGCCTGGGCCAGTTTTCTCCAAATGAACTCTCTCAGTGATGCCTACGTGAAACATTGGCATAGCTTGACTAGAACTCTCCCTAGAAATGTTTCCAGTGGCCTTGGCCATGCTGCTGCTGATTAAGTTGTCCTCCGTGGAGCCTAGGGGTGAAAAGGGGGTCTCTGGGGGAACCCTATAGGAACTCTGAGCCACCACTGCCTGCTGGCTTCCAAAGGCAGTCACCACGAAGTTCTCAGAGGTGTACCCAACACTCAAAGGCTATCCCAGCCTTTAACCTCAGCCCTAGTCAGCTCCCTAGAGGCAGAGGACCAGGTGACTTTCTGCCTCAGGGCCTTGGCTCAGAAACGGGACAGGGCCAGGAGGCGGCCGACTGTGGGCTGGGACAGTCTGTGGGGTTCCTGCCCACAAGGTCCTCTGTGTTCTGTCTTCCTTGGGCAGAGAAACCCCTTTCAGCCCCTACCTGCCTGGCCCTACAGCACCAAGGCCACCCACAGAGCACCAGGAAAACTGCTGTCTGGTTGAAGCGCCCCCTTGTGGCTACTGTTCAGATGATTGTCACGGGTGCTAAAATCAGAAACAGATGTGTTTGATGGTGGGGCTCGGGGGTGGGAAAGGGGCCTGCAGAGCTCCAGGGCTCCTGCCTCTGAGTGCTCCCTGCTGCTGTCTCCTGGTTCTCATGCCAGTGCCTGAGCTGGACACTGTTCCTGCTGTCCCAGCACCTACCGTCTCAAAATCCCATCCCACCTTCAAACCTGCCTGCTTGAGGGGGTCAACCCATGCTTTCTTTAATCCAGCATATTATCCTGGATCCTGGCCAGAGAAGGACTCACAGTCTTCCCTTAGCTAATCTCCTTCTTCCCTGGAGCCCTGCCCTGACCGTGCCTGGGCCTTGGAAAACTGGAAGAGAGGGTCTAAGTCAGCCAAGTTAACGAGGTGAGAGGGGAGGGTGGTAGGGGAGGAGTGAGCCCCTCAAACCATCTGGAGACTGTTCCACTGCAGCATCTAGGACGGATCCCCTCGTCTTTTTAAACAAAAGAAAAGTAACCCCATTTCCTCCCCTTCGCCCTCGCAAAAATAAAGGGGAAATGAGCTGCGCAAGGATGGCAGTGGGACGTCGATGCAGGTTGGGGGGCAGGTGAGCATCTTCGTGGGACCAAGGGCTTCAACAGGACACCTCCATGGTGTGGTTGACCTGGCCCAGCCCCTCACTGCTGTCTGAGTGGGTGCAGGCCTGCGGGCGGCTGCCGTCCACCGAGCTGGCGCTGGTGAGGGACGAGGTTCGAGAGCGGGCGAGACGGGTCATGCTGGCCGAGGGCACTGCAGACAAAGAGGGCACCGGGGGTGAGGACCAGCAGGCGGGGCCGGGCGCAGGCAGGTGGGAGAAGGATTTACGCAAGCAAAGCGGCCAGCGAGACCGGTTCTTCCGACGAAGGCATGGAGGCTCATCCCAAGCCAGGGCTCTACACTTGCTCTGTCAAGCCCCAGGCATGCAACGCCAGCGACAGGGAGTGAGCCAAAGGGGCGGGAGGGCCACGGAGGCCGGCAGGACCCTCCTCACAAGAGCTGGCCAGAGCTGTGGCCAAAATGGGCTGGCAGCTGACCGGGTGTCCTTAAGCTGGAGCAAGGATGGGACATTATTTCCAACTCTGCCTCCCTCAAGAGGATGATGGGGCAGGGGGAATGAGACCAGTTCTGTAAAGAAGGGCAAGGTGTGATGGCCCCAGACTGCCCTAAATCCTGTTTCTGCCCTTATTCAGAGCTTTACAAGCGAGGCTTGCAGGAAGCAAATTCTACCTTCCTGACCTCAACTAGCCATCTGTCCAGCCCAGGCATAGCTTGCCCCTGACCCCAGGGCCGACACCTCTGAGAAGTTCTGGTTCCAACTGCCAGAGTGCTGGAAGCCACGGGGCCCATGGCAACCTAGAAGCAAGGCTGATCTAAAACCCAGCCAATCTGGAGCCCTAAATGGGACAGAGCCCACGGAAGAGCAGGACACAAGAAGTTCCCATGGCAAGATGCGGCCTGGCTGCAGCACTGCACAGAGGAAGGAGCTGGGGCTCCTGGGGTGGCGGGGTGGGGGGAGCTGGGGGGCGGTCCATGCATTAGGGGAGGGGGTGCGGGGCTACCTGCTCCTCCACTCAGCCTTCGGTCCTTCAAGTATGCAACTAAGAGAGAAGACAGAGCCAGAGGGGCAGGGTTGGGGAGACAGAACACGGGTGAAGAGGAGGTCCGGCGAGATGAGGGCGTCGAGATGGGTCAGAGGGGAGAGGAAGGCACAGAGCAGGCTGGGGGCAGGGCCAGAGCCTCAGGAAGCCCCCTCCCGCCCACCCACCGAAGCAGCGGCCACAGAAGGAACCACAGCACTGACTGATGTCAGTCTGGCCCTAGGAGTCGGGAGAGCAGGGTGGGGTGCTCGTCTCACCCCCCGATTCTCCAGCCTGGGCTGCAGCACTGGGGGCTCACGCCCACAAAGCCTTTAAGGCCTATAACCTAGTGCCAGCACCCTCTCCATTCTGCTGGGGCTCACTCTCCCCGTGGACAGAATGCGGGAGGCCCGTATGACCTCCCAAATCCTTCCCAGCTCTTGGGCTGCCTGGTGGTATTTGTCCACCAGGGTCCCAGTGGACCAGCCCCGTGGTCCCAGCCCCGTGACAAGTACCGCTCACCCACCCGTCCCAGCAGTGTCCGCCAGGCACTTCCTGGGCTCAGCGCCCAGCCTCAGAGCCCCTGCTGGGTCTCACTGTGGGTCTTGGCCTCTTGCTGCCCTACTTCTCCATAGACAGGCTGGCAGGGGGCCCCGGTCCCCTGGGGGCGGGGGGTGGAGGTCTGTTCCTGGCTGGCCCCCCAGCCTTCCCCCACAGGCCTGTCCTCCCCAGAAGGCCCAGGCTCCAGAGGCTGAGGTCTGGGGCGAAGAAAAATTCGGGCAGAGGAAGTTTGCTTCCAGGAGGAGAGCCAGGCGCAAGGGGGAGATGGAAGGAACTGAGGAGATGCACGTGTGTCACCAAGGCGGCATGTGCGCTGGTGGCGCTCACGAGCAGTGTCTCACCCCCGCACGAGGGGAAGTCGGGAGTGGGCAGGGAGCCAGTTCCACCCCTCTTTCCTCGGGGTCTTCAGATATGCCACCCCCAGTTTGGCTGCCTTCAGCTCTCCTAACACCCAGATGGCCTCACATGCCTTCCCCAGTCCCCAGACTCCAAGTCCACTCCTCTGATGCCCCTGGTACCATCCGGCCTTCTCAGGTGCTGTAGGCCCAGCAGGCGCTGGGTGGGGTGGGTGACTCACCCCTAGGCAGGCTTCCCCGGCAGGACTCAGCCCCGGGCCCTGCTCCCCAGAGCTGGGAGAAGAGTCCCCCACCCCAAAAGGCCCAGCCCTGTCAGGAGAACAGTGCCCCAAAGCCTCCCCAAGGGCAGGGCCTGGCCTGGGACAATCAAATTACAACCTAGGTGGAGATGCCCTAGAGGCCCCCAGGCACAGCGTCAGCCCCAACTTGCTGCCTGCCCCCCAGTCTCTAGCGCAGGGTGGGTGGAGGTATACTTACTGTAGCCCATGCCTTGCAGGAAGTACTTGAAGGCTTCAGTCAGCTTCCCGGGCTGCAGGGCGAGGGACAGGTACATGCTTTGTTTGCCTGCCTGGGATTCAGGGGGAGGGGAGGCTTCCCCAACCCCTGGCCAGGTAAGGGACGGAGAGAGGGCCAAGAGTCTCACCTGTGTGACCTGGGGGAGCCCCCCGGAATCTGCCATCTGCAGGGGAGAGAGGGGGGTGAGCTGAGCAGGGGCCCCCTCACACCACACCCTGCCTGTCCCTGGCACACCCGGACAGGCTCCCCTGACCAGACACACCGTCCTGCTCTGCTCCCACCTTGGCTGGGACCCCAGGCAGGCCCCTCCCTGTGGCTGGGCCCAGGGTGGGGAGGAGGGCCTCACCTTCAGGAAGGTCGTGGTGGTTGGATCCAGTTTGGAGTTGCACTCAACCTGGGGACAAGGAACAGGCTTCAACAGAGTGAGGCGCCCGAGGGCTATCAGGCGTCCCCCTGCCCCAGATGCTAAGGGAGGGTCTATCCCCAGAGTTGCGAGGCTCTACAGGTGAGGGAGGGAGTGCAGGGGGCAGACACAGGCACCTTGGCAAGGCCAAGGCCCTGGGGATCAGGAAGCAGCCCCCTGAGGGCCTCTACCGCACTCACAACTGCTGCTGGGCTGGGGGCAGGGGCTGGGCAGCGGCCTCACAGCGAGCCGGGGCCACCTTGGCGGGGGAGGCTAGGAAAGCGCAAGGCACCCCAGAAGTCGAGCGCCAGAGGTGAGGGAGGGCCGAGGGTCAGCAGGAGACTCTGAAGCCCTGACCCTGCCTGGGTCGAGATGGCAGGCGCAGCCCACAGCCCTGCTCCCCGAAGCCCCCAGGCACATGGAGGGTGTCGTACTTTGGGTGCACACTGGGGGCTTCTCTGGGCACTGCTGGACCCCTGACCCTCTGGGGGGACATGAAACACCCCGGGCTGCCTGCCCTCAGAGTTCTAACAGGAGAGGTGACACGTGATCCCCAAACATAATGGATGCATGTGATGGTCAAAGAGGGACCATTGCTGTGCTCATGAATTGCTTATTTCATAACAAGTAAATCCAATTTTAGAGAAAAGAGAGATCTTAGTCTCTGGGCCTAAAATGGGTGGAGAGTGTGGAGGGGCTGCCGTGCTGCAGGGAGGGGTAGGGTGGGGCAATCAGGTGGCCCGGTCCTGGCCCCAGGCCCCTCCTGTCTCCAGGCCTCCCTCACTTGAAGGATGGGGGCTGTCTCAGGCACTGGTACCTGGCAAGATGGTGGGGAAGTGGGATGAGAAGCCCACCATCCGGCATCCCCCCGAGGCTTCCCGGGGCAGGGTCAGGAATTGGCCCCATTGGCCAGGAGCCAGTGACCCCTTTGCCCCTGCCACCCACTGGCACCAGGGCACAATCCCTCACTCACCACCCCCTCCTCGGCAGGTGCGTTATCCCCGACTACCAGCATCACAGGGCAGCTGCAGACACAGAGGAGAAGGGCTGTCTGGCCTAGGCACCGGAGAGGGGGTTACAAAGGCCTGGCAGGCTGGAGGGGGCAGGGCACTCACCGGAGCGTCTTGGCGTTGGGCACTGTTCCAGGCCGGTTAATGTCCAGGTCTCTGCGGCTGCAGGGAAAGGCGGAGGTGGGCATCCCAGGACTGCATCCCGGGGCGGGGCTTTGGGGAATGTCCCCAAGCCTGACACTGCTGTATTTCAACCCCGTCCCTCCACACAGCAATTATGGCCCAACATCCCTGGAGGTGCTGGGCTGGCCCCAGATTTGGGGCTTATGCTCTAGTGTCTCAACGGTGAGACAAAGCCTCACACATGCCATTGGTAAAATGGGGAGACAGAGGCCTGTTCTGCACAAGTAGGGGCCTGAGGGCTCCCCTCACGTGACTTCTTCTGGGACCCCCCCCAAGTCATGCCAGGTGGGCCCTCACATTTGGCTCTCATCACGGGCTGTGCACCACCACCTGTGCTGGGAGTCCCATGCCTTACAGGCAGGCAAGCAGGCCAGGGCTTCCCTCCTTCTCCAGTGTTTCTCCAGCACACAGCAGGCGTTCAATAAATATTTGTAGGAGAAAGAGAAGGAGGGGCAGGCCACCGGGGGGCCCCGGCCACTCCCCTGCAGGGCAACCCCTAAGGGGCTCCAAGGAGCACTTAATCCAACCTTCTCTCAACTTATGGATGTCAGCACTGAGGCTCAGGACAGTGGGGGCAGCAGGTGGCGCCCACATCCCCCACTGCTCCCACTGGCAACGCCCAAGGGAGGGGGAGGAATGGAAGAGCTCTGCTCCCCCTCTGCCCCTCGCGGGGTGTGATCCTGGGCAAGAGGTCACCCCTCTCAGAGGCTCATCGGTCCACTCATCTACAAACTGGGAGAGTGTGTTGCTAGCCGTGGGCAGCTGTACCGGGGAGGGGGGGGTGTCCCCCAACTGCGTGAGCGCTCCCGTCCTGGTGCCGCCAGCTGGGACCCGAGCCGCCCATACCTGTTGTACATGTTCCAGAAGAGCTGCAGGTTGGCCTGGTTCACCACATTCCCGATCTGCTGCCGGTAGCTCTGCACCAACTCTGTGTTGCTCACCAACTCCTCCTGGGCCCCGGGGATGCGGGATGAGCGCACGCGCGACAGGGCAGTGTGGAGCCACAGACCGGGATTGGCTCAGAGGGGGCATCTCTGGCCAGAGCGGCCCCTGCCCCAGCCCCAGAGGTGGGGAGGGAGGGGGGAAGGGGGAAGGGTGTGTGGGGGGAGGGGAAGGGTGTGTGGGGGGAGCCCACGGCCTTGGGAGGGGAGGGGACCCCGCCCCATCCGTCTCCCCAGTCCGTCTCGGGTGCTGCAGTCTCGCGGCTGATCCCGGGGTAGGGGTGAGGCATGTCTGATGCCCCATCACCCCGCCACCCTCTTCCTCCTGCCCGGCCGGGAGGGGGGGGGGGGCAGAACCAGGCCCTCGGGAGAGTCCCAACCCGCCGCTCCGGCTCCTGCGTGAGGACGGCTCCGCCCCCTTACCTGCCTGAAGAGGTGGGAGAGCACCGTGTCGGGTAAAGTGCTGGTCAGGCTGGAGAGCTGCGGGCCGAGGCGGAGCCAGTGTGAGCACCGCGACGCCCCGCCCCGCCCCACCCCTTCCAGGCGGACCGCGCTCACCTTAGTGGCCGCCCAGTCGATCCAGCCTTTGCCGTTGGGGTCGATGTTTATCAGCACCAGCCCCTCCACCAGGTCGGGGAAGATGAGCTGCCGGGACAGGGAGACAGGGCTTGGGGGGCGGGGCAGGGAGCCCAGTCTTCCCACCTGGAAAACGGACTGTAAAATTCTGGCCCTGCCCGTCTCACAGGCGGTTGCTAGGATCTGAAGAGAAGGCCGCGCTCTGTAAGGGCTTCAAGGTACCACTGATAACCAAGTGCCTTCAGCTGGGAACTTGCCTGGGGGCCCCTGCCCATCCTCCTCCCCCCCTGCCCATCCTCCTCCCCAACTGGAACCTTTCAAAACCCTTTTATTTGGAATCTATCTATGCCTATTTCACTGTTTTTCAGCCCCTTTAATATACCTTTGAAGAGGCTACTATTGCAACACTAAGGATTAAACATCTTCAATGAAATATTTTGTTTCTTTGCTTTCATAGAAAAAACCCTAGTGATATTAAGAAACTGACCTTTCCAAAGCCTGTTTTGTGTTAGACATTGTAAAAGAGATTCGAGTTTTCTGTTCGACTGTCTGCCTGTGTTAGGGGAAAATGGTGATATATATACAATACTGAGGTCATATCAAGGTTGTCTGGGGGCGGCTGGGAATAGTTGACAGTTAACAAAGTGGTTAAGTACTGCAGTGGAAATTGGAGTTGAAAATTCTTAGTCAGTTTTTTTGTTTTTTTGAAGAAAGAAATACTTTGAATCCTAAAAATTAAGTTTTTGCTTTTAGAGATGGAAAGCTTGTGAGCTCCTACCCGACATGATGTTTCTGAAACCTGACTTTCTTTAAACCTCGCAAACTTATCATAAGTGTAATTTTAGATTAAAAAATGATTCATGTTTAAGTATTACCCTAATTAGTGAATGAGTGATTAGGATAATCCTTATTTAGTGGCTGGAGTAATTAGTTGTATAGTTTGTTGCGAAGAGAAAGTTTGGTTTTGGATAATGGTTGAAGCAACTTATGGCTCATAGTGTTTTAAGGAATTGTATAGAAAAAGTAACCTTGTTTTTATTTAAAGTTAATTTCCTTGGAGGAAAAAAAGAAAAAAGGACTTTTCCTAAGTGAAGAGGAAGTAGGGGGAGGAGGAAAGGAAGACAGGAAGGAAAGTTCCTGTGGGGTTGCCCCTGGGAGAGACCAGTCCTGGGATCAGTTACAGGGGCGGGTGGAAAGACTCACTGCAAACTTGGCCAGCACGTAGGCTCCGGCTCCCACGCCAATGCCAATCACGTACTTGAACCTGATAGAGAGCATGGCTGGTCACTCTAGGGGTTTCCCATGATTGCCATCCACAGCAGACCCACCCATAGCCCTCAGCGCTCAGCTGGAGCCTGCTGGCTCTGCGGAGATGGTGGGCGCCCCCTGGCCCCCAGCACAGGGGCAGGGCAGGGCAGGGCTGGGCGAGGACTCACCCAAAGTGCTGCACCACACTGGGGAGCATGGCGGCTAGCTGCTCCATGGAGGGGAACTGGTACCTGCAGGCAGAGCACCAGGTCAGGCCCAGTGCAGCCGGGGGTACAGGGCTGGGGAAAGCTGGGGGGTGGGTCGCTCTGGGTACCTACCCCTGAGGAAACTGCGAGGCCCCCACCTGCTGACCGGGGGCATCCACGTGACACACCACAAAGTGCTTGGTGATCTCCTGCATGTCCTCAAAGTTGAAGAAGGTATTGAAGCACAGCTTGTCTGCAAAGACAAAGCTCTCAGCTGTGGCTGAGCCAGGAGAGGCGGGCAGGGAGGCCCATGGATGCTGAAAGGGAGGTCGAGGCAGAGGTGATCAGCCTCATGGTTCAGCGGGGAAACCGAGACCCAAATGGCTAGGGGCACAGAGCTAAGCGTGAGTGGGGATCTACGGGGCTCTGTGGGGAGGGAGGGGGGGCTCACTGTTCCGGGAGATTCGAGGCAGTGGAGGGCCAAACGACGCTGAGGCGCACTTACGGTTGAGACCCACGTCATGGTAGGTGAGGATGGCCGGGCGGTTCCCCTTGGGGGAGCCCCGGATCACCACGTGCAGAAGGCCGTAAGGTGTCTCGATGTCGTGCTCCTGGAGGGGAGAGACAGCGCTGGACACTCCGGGCAGCCCCCAGACCTGGCTCTTTCGGGAAATGATGCTGTGGGGCAGCCTGGGGGCTGCTGGGCCTCTGGCGGGACTTCCACCCCCATAGGGTGGGGCATCCCCTTCTCACCACCCCCAGAGAGGACAGACCAGAGGGAGCACCCCTTCCCAAGGCCGTTTAGCACAGGGGCAGCGTGAACTGGTCTGCATGTGAAAGTTCTGATCTCCTCTGCAAGCCAGCCAGTGGGACGAGCTGCCACTGCCCAGGCCCAGGCTCAGGCCCTGCTGCACTCAGGCCTCCAGGGTCCAGTGAAGCCCATTTTCCCCATCTCATTGCAGCCCCTCCAGGACAGCTCTGCCATCCCCACTGAGTCCCGCCCCCACCATGTTCCCCCTTGACTCAGAAGCCTTCAAAAGGGCCGCAGCTCCTGAAGGGGACTGGCCTCAACAGCTCACCTAGAATCCACGGCAAAGACCCCTTGCTAGCCAGCCCAGCCTCCCACCCCGACACCTGCCCCTGGTTCCACCTCCAGGCTCTTGCTCCTGCCTCTCCGTGATCCCCAAGGCCTCCCTCAGGCTAGACTCCCACCCCCTCCCCAAAGGCCTTCTGCAGCGGCCACTCTGAGGTCCTCTTGTGTTCACGCCTTTGCTTTCGCTGCTCAGGGTCGTCAGTTCTCCAGGAAGCAAGAGCTGGATGCTGCAGGTTCAAGACCCGCTCCGGCCCCTACTGTGTAACTCTGAGCAGGGCATGCACTTCTCTGTGCCTCAGCCACCGCTGCCTAAGCCACCTCATCAGGACTCTGTGAGAACTAAACAAGCTGATATCTGCCGAGTGTTTAGCACTTGGAAAGGGGCCCAGAAAGGGGGCTGCCGTGGGTGGGCATCTCTAAGCCCTGGGGAGGCGCCCTGCTGGCTGGTCCTTCTGCAAACTATTCCCTCTCGGCCACTCATGGGGAGGCTCCAAGGGGGTCTGTCAAAGCTGAATAAACAGCCCTGCTGGCACCAGGGGGAGTCCTGGGAACTACAGGGGGGTGGCCCCAGGGAGTTGGAGGTGGGGCTAGGGTCAAGGACAGTCAGATGTGACTGAGCACCTACTGTGTGCCAGGTGTTATGCAAGAGAGAAGGAGGTCTTTTCCCCATCTTTTAAGTGGAGGACACTAGGATGCTCAGATTCAGAGACAACCTAAGTTCTTGCCTCCGACAGGAAAGTGGAGACTCAGGCAGGGAACATCTTCTTGGGGACTGGCCTTCTTGGGTCTGGGCTCAGAGGACCACTGTCGAGGCCTGTCTCCAGTGGGGAGAGACAAGGCAGTGCCAACCCTGTGGCTCGAGGCTGCACCCCGGGAGCCACACTTCTGGGAGTCCTCCAGGCAGGCCCGAGCCCGCCACAGGCTCCCCACAGCCCAGGCCTGTCCTCCCTCAGGGCTATCAAAACAAGGAACACTTGCTGCTCACTGACCACTGACCAGACGTTTTTCATGTATCTTCTTATTTATCCTCACAGAGGAGGAGGAAACTGAGGCTAGGAAAGAACTGACTTGCCCAAGGCCGAGTTCCGAGAAGGCAGAGGGGGACCTTGCCAGGTGCCAGCCTCAGGCTGCTTTTTTCTGAGGAAGACATCAAGCTCCATGCAAGAGACTTCTGAGCCAGCAGCCTCTCCACAGGGTGCGTGTCCCTGCTGGGGGGCCCTGCCTCATCCCCACCCCCCATGCTCTGTTGGCTCTGGAGGGCAGGGCCTGGGGCAGGAAGAGTGCACAGTGCTAAGGAAGGTGGGATGGGGCAGGAGGGGCACACGGTGTTATGGAGGGTGGGCTGGGGGCAGGAGAGGGCGTCCACAGCACAAGAGCTGCAGTGCGCTTCCTGCGGCATAGTTCTCGGAGCGGGGTCAGCTCTAGCCAGCAGAGCACAAGTCAGGGCCCAGGGCGTGGTCCTCCCAGATCTCCACCGCCCCGTGGGTGTGTGTGAGGGCAGTGTCCGCCCCTCCCAGTCCCGGTGTGGCCGCCCAGGTCCCCACGCCCCACCAGGGGCAGCGGGACTAAGTCGCAGTGCTTGCACCACTAAGGCTCAGGCCCCCAGGGCTGGGCGGGGCTGGGCCTGGACAGGCCATCGGGAGCACCAGCCCGGTTGCCCATTGACCTTGGCTGAACCCTCCACCGACCTCCCTGCACCCTCTCGACCCAGGAGTTCAGATCCAGGTAATCCTGATAGAGGCCAAAGGTCCCCAAGAGGGGCGCCCCAAAGGCCGCAGCCAGACGCGCTTTGAGTCCCCCTATCCCCAGGGCCGAGGGCTCTCATTGGCTCTTGGTGACGTCAGAGCCCGTCCCCGCCTCCAGGTGGGCGCCAGCGCGAGGCACTGCGGCAGCAAGGGAGGGGGCTCTAATGTCCTCTCTCTCTGCCTGTCCGGCTCCCCTAATCCGTGACCTTGAGCGCTGCGGGGGGGCGGGGGGGGGGGCTTCTGAGCGCGCGCAGGGCTGCTTGGATTCTTCCCATCAACCGCATCAATAATTCAAGGACCGGGTCTGCAGCGGCGGGTAGGCGCTGACGTCGTTGCCTGGGTAGAGGTCGGCCCCATGGCCTCCGGACCCGGCAGGGCAGGCAGGGCAGGCTACGGGGTAGAGGGGTATGTGTGCCCCTGCCTCTCCCTCCTGGAGTTAGAACAGCACCGAGCCTGGGCACCTGCTGCCCCCAGGCAGAAGGAGGCACCCTGGTCCCCCCGGGGCCCCTATCCCTGCAGGTTCATCCCTCCAGCATTGCCTTCCTACACCCAGAAAATAAGGCGCAGCGACCCCCTTCTCCCTGCAGGGACCCCAGCCTGACGGACCAGTTAACACCATAACCCAGACTTCCCTACTTCTGCCTGACTAGCACCCTGCAGTCCCCCAAACAACCAAGACAACCCGCGCAGGGTCAGGAGGTGTCTGTAGGCACAGACACGCAGGGAACAGCTTCCACAAGGCTGAGGTGGTCACAGGCGCCAGGCAGAGCCAGGTGGGCACATGCCAGGCGGAGGGCACACCGTCAGTGGGATATACACATGCCTACACACCGATCCATACAGGCTTACAAACAAGTCACAGCCCGTTCCAGTTTGTGCAGAGATTCAGCCTTCCCCGCCCTCCCCTGTGGACCCTGACCAGCAGCTACCCACAACCGCTGCAGCAGACCAGGGTGCCTGGAACCTGCTGGCCTTGCTCAGTGACCCCAAGGTGACGCGACTGAAGGCAGAACCACCACCAGACAGAGGCAGAGGGATCCCCTCCCTCCCCGACCCCGCCAGACTCCGCACTCACCCCATCCCAGCACTCCGGCATCTTGCTGAGGGAGGCGACCCGCCTCGACTAGGAAGGGCAAACAAAGGCCTAAGTCACCAGAGTCCAGAGGGAGGGGGATCGCAAGTAGGAGACCAGCGGCTCTATGACGGGGCACAGCTCCCGGGCCATTTATATGTAGAGCCAGGGGGTGGCGGGGGGGTGGGGCCCTGGGCTGGCCCCTCCTCCCTGCGGGGTTTCTGAGCAGCCACTCGCTCACCCGGAGCCCCTGCTCCCAGATTGGCTTTCAGGAGACAAACTTGGCTCTGATTGGCTTCCAAGGTTCTCACTCACCCCATCTCCTGCTCCTCCCACCCCCAGCAGGCCATCAGTCTTGATGGTCCCCAGCCCCGGCATCCGGCCCACCCCCAGCACAGAGGCTCACAGCAGCAGCCGCACACGGGCCCTAGGAAGACAAGAGGCCACGTGTACAGGTGTGCCCTGTGACAGGCACACAGGAGGCTCTCAAAGACGAGCACACCGAAGCAGGGCAGGGTGGACCACACAGGCATGCCCTAGACAGCAGAGCCCTTGACCCGTACCCTGGGAGCAGGGAGGGCCCGAGAGCGCCCCAAGCCCAGCCTCCACGTCAGAAAGGCCTGGATCCCTTAACCTTGAGGGGATACGGGGAGTCACTGCTGCCTGGGGCAACCTGGGTCATGACCCTACTCCAGGGGACTGCTCCTTCTCCACCCCCAGGGTCTCCCCTTGGGCAGCCCCCACTTTGCCCACATGTATACCCAGCGCCTGCTCATGCTGGGGAAATGGGGGTTCTGGGGCCAGGGGGCCTGGGCAGATTGCAGGACCAGGAAGATGGTGGGCACACACCAGCTCTGCCCTCCCCCACCCCCACCCTGCAAAAGGGGCTGGAGGCCACTAGAGACGGGAGGAGGGACGGGAGGCAGCTTGTCCATGTGGGCATGCCCACCTGCCGCAGACACACCCAGCCCTCTTTCCTGGGGCCACCCAGCCTGGGGCTTGGCTCTCGAGTCTCTGGGGAGCAGGATGCTTGAGCCGCCTCCCGCCTCCCGCCGTCCTGAGCAGCAGGACAGGTGCTGGAGGTCACGTGGCTCAAGATTTGGGGGAGGAGCTGGCCAGAGACATGCAGGCAGAGTAAAGCGATTAGAAGGGGCAGGGAAAGGAGAGCAGAGGAGGAGAGGAAATAGGCCAGGGAGGGGAGCAGAGGAGGGAGCCCAAGGGCTGAGAGAAGCAAGAGCAACAGAGAGAGGGAGGGGAGTGGGCCCCTGTGCCCCCATTCTGTCTCTTTGGTGAGGGAACACGCCACTCGTCCCAGCCTGTGCCGACAGCCCTGCATGCTGGCTGGCTGCCCTGGGGGAAGGTGGTCACCTCCCCATCTCTGGGTGCCTAGTGACCTGGTCAGCACCTGCCACGTATGCTATTCCTGACCATGTCCTCTGCCTGGGGGGCATCAATAACTTCCCTTGCCCCTCTCTGACCTCTCGCACTGCGGGCCTAGTGCAGAGTGCTGGGGGCCTGTGGTCTCCCAGGGCAGCTGGGGTGTGGAATGGGCTATCCCCCAGCCCCTCCTGTTCTGTCCATGTTCCCTGTTCCCTGCAGCCACTTGGGCACAGGAAGAGGCTCTCGCAATTGAGGTGGTGTGCAAAAGCACAGCCCTGTCTGCAGACGTGCCCACAAAATCCTCCCATATGCTTCTGGAAGAGGGGCAGGGTGGGGTGGCCTCCCACCCTTTCTGCCACTAAAACCCTGCCCCTTCATGGTCCCCATCCAACCTTATGCCCACCTGAACCTCTGAGTAGCCTTTCCCACCCTTGGACCTGGGAGATCTCAGACACTGCCCACCCCAAGCCACGACCTCCCAATTCTGCTCAGCTCAGTGGTTTCAAATCCACAGACCTGAGTTTAAATTCCAGCTTCCCCACCCACTAGCTGGGTGACCTTGGACAAGATTTTTAAACTCCTCTGTGCCTTAGTCTCAACTGTCAAATAGGAATTGTGCCTTCCTCACAGAGCTGCTAGGATGAAGAAAAGCCTCATACATCACTACATGTAGTGGCCTATATGCAGGCCTATATGAAGGCCTCTCCCAGGCCTGCCCAGGGGAGAAATGGGATAATCTGTGTGTCTCTCCAACCTGTTAGCCTCCTCCCTGGAGGTTGTACAGTTGTGGCTGAATAAGGCAGGCTCAGGTCCTGCTAGCCAAACCCTGCTAGTCTTTGCTGTGTGACCTCAGGCAAGTCAGTCAACAACTCTGAGCCTCCACCTCTGTAAATGGTAGAAAAGCAGTGTAGCTGCTTGCACAGGTAGCCTTAAGGAGCAAGAGTAACACATAATCCTCACAAACCTATGAGAAAGGATGAAGAAGCTGAAGCACAGAAAAGTAAATTCTCCCACTCAGCTAGTAAGCAGTGGAGCTCAGCACCCTGGGCCTGAGGTCACATTAAGAGTAGTAAATGCTTAGTACCATATCTCCCACATGCCATACTCCATCCAAATGCTTTGCACATGTTACTTTATTTTATCCTCTGAACACCCACTTTACAAACAAGGAAAATGAAGCACAGAGAGGTTCTGTAACCTGCCCAACATCACACAGCCAGTGTGGGTACAGAGCCAGGAACCACACGCAGGCAGTCTGGCTCTAGTGGCCACTAGTCACAGCCCAGGGTCTGAGTGCCCAGCCCAAGGCCACCAACCCCGACCCTACAAACACCCGGGGAGGGCTGAGCTGCCTGCCTCACTCCACAAATGAGGTAGTGACCTGTACTGGAGGTCAGGTGGCAGAGCCAGGACCTGGACCCAGGTCTTCCTAGTTCTAGTTTGTCCTTCTGCCTCCCCCACTGGCTGGGCCCACTGAGGCAAGGGACTGAACAGGATAAAATCCCTGCCAGGCCTTGGCCCAGGCAAGGGCCATCCTGGCAGCTGCTCTACTAAAAAAACAATTAAAAGAAAAAGCAGCCGCTGTGTGGTGTATCCAGAGTAGACAGTAAGGTACCTTTTAACACATGCTGCACTTTACCAAGCAAAGGATCTTGAGAACCAAGGTCCCACACACATGGGGTGACCACCCTAGTCTGGGCCCGGCAGATGGGTGCAGAGGACCCCAGGATTCTCATCACCTATTTCACCCTCCAATCTGCCTCCCAGGGTGCGTGTGTTTTGGGGGCTGGCAGTCAGCACCGTTGGCATCCAGTGAGTCCCACTCAATGTCGGGCAGGGGCTGATTGCTCTGGATTTTATTTCAGCAGCTCCCTCCTGTGGAGGAGGGTCTGTTTGTTCACACATTCCAGCCCTCATTTGGAGCAGGGAGGACAAAGGGAACTCTGGCTGGGCCTGGGCCACCTTGTGGACACCTCCCCGGCCTCTAGTTCCCCACTCCTCCAGGCCTCATCCTGTCTTCTCGAGCTCCAGAGGCCTTTGTGTTTGGAGCTGGTGCTCCCAGGAGACCAGAGCATGTGCACAAGGGCCACTCTGATGCCTCTGCTTGCGTCCTTGAAGGACGGGTGACCCAGGGTCAAAAGCACAGTTCGTATCCAGATCCTCAGATCCTGGCTGCAGCTCCGTGCGCCTGGGAGAGGAGCCGGCAGGCCATCCCTCCTTCCACGTCACCCCTGCGTCCAGACCACAAGGCTGAGGCTGTCACGGGGCTGGGAGACTGACCCAAATTGGATGGTGGCCTGGGGTCTAGCTTCTGCCAGCCAGGAGGAAGGTCCCAGAAAAGTCTGACTTTGTTCAGTAGGTTATGATGGCCAGCGGGGCCCTGGAGCCCTGTGAGGCTCCCATTGTGTCTGCTGTCATGCCTTTTCTGAGACCCGGAAATAAACGGCCACTATGGGACTCACAAGGGAGGAATGGTTGGCCAAGTGAGCAAAATCAGAAATCATCATGCAGAGAAATAAAAACAAAGAACGATTTCAGTTTCACAGGGAATCTGGCATCAAACTAAAGAGGACATGGTTGTCCGGGGCAACTGTTGCCATGGAAACAGGAGCTATTTCGGAGCATCAACCTGGCTTTCATAGGAGGAAAGTGCTGATTCAGATGACAGCATCCTCACTCCCCCAGACCTCTCCTCCTTTCCCTGTCCTGTTCAAGGAGAGAGGGGGCATTTCTCCACGGGACAGAGGGGAGGCAAAGCCACTGTGAGCAGTGGGGGTGGTCCTGGAGGCTTCCAAGTGCCCAGTCCCTGTGGCTTCAGGCTGGGGGCACGTGGAAGGGCTGTGACCCTCCTCTGAAACAGGCTGGGTGGGGGAGGGGCCAGCCAGCAGCTGGTCCCCATCTGGGGAGGCTGAGCAGAGACCTACCTTCCAGTCTGTGTCCACAGCCAAGAGGAAAGTGTCGGAATTCTCCTAAAGCAAGGCAAACAGAGGGGGTGGCTCGTTAGGCCCCAGGCTGGGCCAGGCAGGGAAGGCAGGCGGCCACAGGGGCTCTGCCTCGAGCAGCCTCGCTTGCTGTTCCCCAGGCTATCTTTTTTTTTTTTGGCCACACCATGCGACATGTGGGATCTTAGTTCCCAGAAGAGGGATCAAAGCCGGCCCCCTGCAGTGGAAGCATGGAGTCTTAACCACTGGACCGCCAGGGAATTCCCCTCCCCAGTCTATCTTAATGTTAACAAAAGTGACAGAGGGCTTCCCAAGTGCCGGGCATCAGGCCATTTAGTACCTGACAGATGAGGTTACGAGCAGCTACACACATTGATTTTACCTGTTAATTTTTTTTTACCTATTAATTGAAAACGTGAAGATTTCCACTTTGCAGGTGAGAAGGGTGAGGCTCAGAGAGATGGAAGCACATGGCTAGAAAGTGATGGAATAATCTCTGACCCCAAATTCTTGCTGTTCAGCACTTTGCCCGCTGTCCCCACAGATGACTTTTGAGAGGTCGCCCATCAGGGCACAAGCGCAGAGGCGGGCCTATCACACCCACTTTAGGGATGGAGAAGCTGAGGGAGAAGGGGGCTTTTCTGACCTGCACAAAGGCGCTGTCTGGGCCTCTGCAGTAGCTGCTCCCACCTTTCCAGACCTGCCTGCTTCATGCTCTCAAAGCACCAAAATCCCCTGCTTTTAGGCTCATTTATGGTGACTGGTGTGAGTCTCTGATTGGTGCCCATCCCTCCCACTGGACTGCAGGCACCGAGAGGGTATGGACCACATCTGGCTCAGCTCTCAGCATAAAGCCTGGCATGGACCAGGCTCCTCAAACACAAACAGAACTGGATGAACAAGTCTAACTTCATGAATGAGGGGAGCACAGTTTACATATACCCACTGTTTATAAGGTGGCAGAAATGGAGAGTGGAGGAATGGGGGCCTGAACCCCATGTGTCTGCGTTGCCAGGCTCTCCCCGATGCAGCCCGGCGGCCCTCAGACACTCTACACCCGCCCTGGGTCTCTGTCTGGGGAAGGAACCTCATGGGGGGATCCCACATATCCAGGAAGAGCAGAGATCTGGGGCCTCTGCCCTGCCTTCTACTGTGTCTGTCTAGAACCCTCTCTGCCCTCCTCTGCTCACTGTAGGCAGATCACTTAGCTTCCAAGCCTCAGTGTCTGTGAGGATTAAACAAGGGGCACAGATAGCAGTCACTCTCCCCTTGGCACTCCTGCACTGGACTCTGTGTGCTACAGATGCTACTGAATACATATGTGGATAAATGAGACAGACGAGAACCAGGATATTATCGGAGGACAGCAAGCGAAGGGCAGGGCTACTAGGTGCAACAAGGAGGAAAACGAACCCAAGTCACAGGAGCAGGGAGGAAAACATTGAAAAGCAGCGAACCTGATGTTTTCACCCACCTGCATTCTGGCAGTTGGAGTGGGAGGGGTGGTGAAAAAAATCAGACAGCACTAGAGGCTCTCGCATGAAAAAGGAAAGCCAGCTCTCAGGTGAAATCAACAATGGCTCTCCTCCCCTCCTGGTTCCTCCAGGGCCTGGGGGCTCTGCCTGGGGAGGGGAGGAGAGCATGGTGGCCACTCCTGGACCCTCCAAGGAAGGGGGCAGCGGTCTGGGGGAAAGGGTTGAGGCTGGTTATCAATGAATCCTCTTACCTTGGAAGACCTTGCCCGAGGGGGGGCCAGGGAAAGAGATGCAGGAGATTTTCAAGGGGATGGGAAGCTTCAAGTGGGCAGGACCCCAAACCAAGAAACAGCAGGCAAAATACAAGCGAATCCAGAGACACTGGAGGCCTGGGAGGAACCACATGAACATTCCAAGGAAAACCGGTGGGAGAGAGGGCCCAGCAGAGAGGAGGGGAGCAGGCCCAGGAGTGGCCTAAGGAGACCCAGGTGGGCATGCAGGCATGGGGAGAATCAACAATTCTTCCACGGAGCCCTGGACACACCAGGCAAAGACTTCAGAAGCAAGCGAATCTGAAATGGCGGAGGGACGGTGGGTAACCGTGTGGAAGTATTTGCTCCTCAGTGGATTCAGGGAATTTGCACCTGGAAGGTTGAGGAAGATTTAAATAGTGAAAAGGACTGGCACTTCTGTCCCGTGCAGCTGGATAGGGGAATCTGTCTGTGAGTGTAACCGCCTGGGAGAGAGAGGCAGAGAGGGAGGCAGAACTTCAAGACAGGACTGCACCTGTTGTCACTGAAATCTGGAAAGGGCACACTGGGAGCACCTAGGAGGATTTTGGGGGGTTGAGGATGGGGCCATTAGTACGTCTTGGGAAAAGCAGATGTGACCAGTGACCAGGTCTACAGGGCTTGTGCTGACCCGAGAAAGGAGAGAAACTCAGCTGGGGATTCGCAGCCTCCGTGGAGGACTGAGACGCAGACCATTGTGCAGGGGAGCCAACTCTGGTCCAGGTGGGATGAGGTGAGAGACACCAAATGCAGCAGGAAGAAGGCAGAGCCCGGGGGCTGGTCAAAGGGGCTCAGGGAGGGAGGGGCAGCAAGGTGCTGGGCCAGGCTGGGCAGAGAAGGGGTGCGAGGGGCCCTGCCAAGGTGGGGAGTGGAAGAGACAGGCATAGCACGTGTGAGGCCAAGGTGCCCTGCACGCTCGGTGCCACCCACAGCTGCACACCCCGTACCAGCAGGCAGCCCCCTACCCCTGAGCCCTGGTGATGAGTGCAGGGGTCCCTGAGAGCCACCATCCGGCCCACCACGCCCTCACAAGAAGGCTGGTCTCTGCTCGCATGCGTCGAAAGATGGGCCGTTTGTGGGGAGGAGGGACTTTTCAGAGAGTTCTAAAAAACTTCTTTCTTCTGAGCTGCATCACAATGACCCAAGTCTTCACTGAGAGCCTACTGTGTACCAGGCACTGCACTAGGAACTGGGGAGATCAGGGAACCAAACGGACAGGGTCTCTGCTCCAGGAGCCTGTGGGGCAGAGCCCGAGAGCACTAAGCGCCAGGCCCGGAGGGTGTGCGCGTGTCAGTATTAGAGCCGGTGGTCGGAGAAGGCCTTCCTGAGGAGGGGGCATCTGAGCAGAGCCTGAACAAAATGAAGGGCCAGCCCTGGAGAGTCCTGCGGCTAGCGTGTCCCAGGCAGAGGGAACAGCCAGGAATATGATCAGCCTGTTCAAGGAAGAGCAGTGAGCCTGCGAGACAGGATAGGAGCCAGCAGGGGGAGGGGGTGCAGAGCACACCCTGGGCCCCGGGAAGGACTGTGGCTGCAACTCTGAGTGCTATGGCAGCCACTGGCCAGCTGTAAGCAGAAAAGTGACATGATGTGTGGAATTTTTAGTTTACGCAAAAAGGATAAAATTACGGGGGTACCTTACCGAAGCCAAGAACAATAGTTAAAAACAGGCCTCAGGAGGGATGGTGGCCAGTAATAGAAATCAAATCTGGCCAGTCTAAGCAAAAAAGGGAAATCTATAATTAGGATACAAGGGTGCCTTACCGAGCCAAGGGCAGGACTCAGGAAGGGCTGGAACAAGTGAATGGAACACATCAGAAAGCCAGGAATGACACGATGTATTTTAAAAGGTTGTACAGAGCAAGGAGACCAGTGGGGAGGCTCCTTCAAGCAGAAAGAAGGGGGGTGGGGCTGCCATGCCAAGGCGAAGAGTGGAAGAGAACATGCGAGGCCAAGGTGCCCTCAGCTTTCTGTGCCACCCACAGATGCACACCCGTACCAGCGGGGAGCACCTGGGCAAGAGATGATGGGGGCTTGGAACAGGGAGGAAGTAGAATTAGAATCAAAAGTCTACGAAGTGTCCAGCTCACCAGCTGTTCCCCGACCATTCCTGGGGGTTGCCCTCAGGTAATCAGGTCTCATAAGTTAACTTGAGGTTCTGTTTTAAAAGTAAAACTGCACCCTAGGAATTCCCTGGTGGTCCAGTGGTTAGGACTCCGCGTTCACACTGCTGAGGGCCCGGGCTCAATCCCGGGTGGGGGGCGGGGGGCGGAACTACGATCCCGCAAGTGGCAGGGCAAAAGAAAAAAAAAGAAGACTGTACCCTTCTTGGGGACACGACTGCCGGCCTCATGTGGTTGGGCCCCTGGCACCTGGACAGCCACTCTGTCCCAACATGTGGAACTCAGCAGCTCTTGGGCTTATCTCCTTCTGGAGGGAGGATCTGGGTGGCTGGGGCAGAGCAAAGAAGGGTGTGCCGAGGATCCAGGGACTGGGCTCCTGGCTTCCCCACTTGTAAAGTGAGGGGGGCTGAGTGGCATAACCAGCAGGGACCTACAGCCGTGATGCCCCAGAATTCTATGAGCAATGGACCCATAGCTTTTCCTTGCAGGAGGGAAAGGGAAGCTGTGCTGGGTGTCACCACAACAAGAAAACGTAAGAATCCGCCTGCCAACACAGGGGACACAGGTTCGAGCCCTGGTCCGGGAAGATCCCACATGCTGTGGAGCAACCAAGCCTGTGCGCCGCAACTACTGAGCCTGCGCTCTAGAGCCCGCGAGCCACAACTACTGAAGCTCTCGCGCCTAGAGCCCGTGCTCCGCAACAAGAGAGGCCACCGCAATGAGAAGCCCGAGCACCGCAATGAAGAGCAGCCCCTGCTCACCGCAACTAGAGAAAGCCTGCTCACATTAACGAAAACCCAGCGGAGCCAAATAAATAAAATTAAGAACGTTTTTTAAAAATGCTATTTAAAAAAAAAAGAAAACGTGGGTAGAGCTAATTCTGAAATCTAACGCCTGGTGTTCAGACGAGGGCCCTTTGGGATAAAATAACAACCTCAGATGCCTTGATGCCACTGCTCCTGGAAACACTGCTGGTAATACTTTCCCTCATACCTCAGGGGCTTATGAGGAAAAAAGAGAGGCTGCAGACATGAAAGGCCCAGGTAGTTGGGGAAGCATCGTGACCCCACTGGAGGCAGCACTGCCCAGCGGGGACCCTCTTGGGGCTCAACGGCCGCCCACAACCAGGGGTTGAATACAGGTCTCATTCCCCGAGAGCTGTGTGACCCTGGCCAAGTGAGTTAACCTTTCTGTGCCTTGGTTTTCTCATCACTAAAATGGGAATAACTCTTCTACAGAGCCTCCCAGCCTCAAAGACAGCCAAAGCCACAGTGAGGTTGGCTGGGTTTTAGCTGCGTGGGCGTTCAGCCCACCGGGAACTCTCCCAAGGCGGGGACAAGGCTTCTCAGGGTGGCTCACGGGATGGAGGGCCATCTCCTAGCCATCAGCAAGACTATTTGTAATGAGGTGGATGGACCTAGAGTCTGTCATACAGAGTCAAGTAAGTCAGAAAGAGAAAAACAAATACCGTATGCTAACACATATATATGGAGTCTAAGAAAAAAAAAAAAGATCATGAAAAACCTAGGGGTAAGACGGGAATAAAGACACAGACCTAGTAGAGAATGGACTTGAGGATATGGGGAGGGGGAAGGGTAAGCTGTGACAAAGCGAGAGAGTGGTGTGGACATATATACACTACCAAGAGTAAAACAGATAGCTAGTGGGAAGCAGCCGCATAGCACAGGGAGATCAGCTCGGTGCTTTGTGACCACCTAGAGGGTTGGGATAGGGAGGGTGTGAGGGAGGGAGACGCAAGAGGGAAGAGATATGGGAACATATGTATAACTGATTCACTTTGTTATAAAGCAGAAACTAACACACCACTGTAAAGCAATTATACTCCAATAAAGATGTTTAAAAAAATAAATTAAAAAAAAAATAGACTAAAGGGAAGGCGCGCGGTTTCCTTCTCGGTCACGAGGTGGCGCCCTCCGCCCTCAGGACCGCGAAGGGGCGACTCACCAGCTCAGTGGCGTCCTGGCCCCGGAGCAGTGGCTTCTCCTCGGGGAATCGCAGCTCCTGCAGGCCGGCCATGGTCCCGTCGTGGAGCAGGAGCCCTAGCGAGGGAAGGCGAGGACGAGGGTTGGGCCCTGCTGCGACAGGCACGCCTGGGCCCTGCTCGGACTCTCTCGGCGGGCGGAGGGGACAGCGCAAGCCCGGGCTGGGGCAGGGGCACCGGGGACCACACCGACCCCTCCATCCCCGGACCCCAGGTTCCCAAGCGCAGGCCCAGCGCGGCGCTTCACCCGGGCAGCAAGGCTCCGTCTGCAAGACTCGCCTGCTTGGCTCAGGGAAGGTCATTGTATTATTTGGTCTTAAAAGTTAAAACATGTTCCCTGCCACCCCCAAAAGAAACGGAAGAAAGAAGGAAGGGGGGGGGAGGAAGAAAGGAAGGGAGGGAGGGAGGAAGGATGGAGGGAAGGAAGAAAGAAAATAAAGAGGAAAAGAAAAGCAAGGCGACACAATACAGGATGACCCTTGAATAAGTTCAAGTAAACTGCATTTATTAAGAAACAGAGGGACAAGTGTGGGGAAGCCAAACACAGGGTCGGAACCGCCCTGTGGTCAGAAGTGGACAGTGGGCTCTGGGAGGACACAGAGGAAGAGAGCTGAGGGCTGTCCTGAGTGCCTAGAAGGACAGGCCTGGGTGAGGATGGCTCTGAGAGGACAGAAGGGAGGGCCTGGCAGTGTGGCAGGCAGAGTGACATTGAAGGTGCTGGTCATGATGTACCACCAGCAGGGAGGGATGACACAGTGACCACTCAACCCACAGCCTCCAGGCAGAGGGGCCCAGACCCTAATGGCTGCGTGTTCGTGGGAGACCCCGGGCCTCTGAACCTCAGGAGAGGAAGGGGTCATATGTGCACGTGTGTGCTTGGAGGATCCAGTGGTGGGGGAAGGCAGACAGAGGGTGCCAGGACCCCGCAATCTGTCTATCTAGCCTGGCACTGCCATTCCTCACTTGGATTTCAGGATGGCACAAATCATAATGCACCAAGAGAAACGCTAGGCAAGGATATGAACTGGAAATTCATAAAAGAATTACAACTGGCCAGTAAATACATGGGAAAATGTTAAAGCTCACTAGAAGTCAAAGATATTCTTTCTTTTTTTTTTTTTTGCCAATGGAATTGGCAACATTTGCCGTGCTGGCAAAGATGCACCAAAACTGGCACTTTTCTTATACTGCTTGTGAGTGTATAAATTGGTACATCTTTCTGGAGGGCAGTTTTACAGAATGAATTAAGATCATTTAAAAGGTTCTTACTCTTGGACTCAGCAATCTTCTCCCTGGGAGAAATTTCCTAAGGAAACCAGAGACGGCACCTAATGATTTATCTGTAAGAATGTTCACCACAGTGCCATTTATAATCAAAAAAACCCAAAACAAGCTAAAAAAGCGAAATGTCCATAAGTAGGGCACTAGACAAACTATGGGTAAATAACTTGTAAAAGGTTATTTAATAACATGGTAAAATGCTTGTGTTGTAATAGATTTTTTTAAAAAGCAGTTATAAAACATACAGTATTATCCAAATTATGAGAAATATGAGTAGTTCCATAAAAAAGCCTGGGAGGCTTTTCACAAAGTTAACAGACATTATCCCTGGGTGAAGGACTGAAAATTAGGGTCTACAGTCTGAAATCAGGAAAAAACAATATTTAAGAAAGACTGTTTGTAGATCATTAAAATTCTTTATTCTTGCAAAGCACTTCACATCTCCCAAGGTACTTTCCTGTACTATTAGATTTCACCGATGGGAAGTGCGATGAGGTAAACCAACCACGGCGGCCTGACCTGGAAGGATGGAAGGATGACTTCCTATCCTTTCTCCCATCCTCCCTCCCACCCCTCTTCCCTTCCTTCCCAATTCTATTTTTAGTCTTTCTCAAGAGTGAAGCCCTCAGACTTTCCCTCCTGCCCTGAAAGGCTGACAGTCCCACTAGCTGGTTGGTCAGAAGATGCCCCCCCACCCTGCCCACCCCTGCTCCTTTGGCTTCTCCCCGTGGAAGCCCTAGTGACTGGGGAGTCAGCGCAGTGGCTTCCTGGGACCCAAGGGCACATGGCCTTGGATGGAACCCATTGCTGTGGCAGGGAGGTCCTGAGACCAGGTCGTAGCTCCAGACCCTGCCTGGGCTTCCTTCCATCCTGTCAGAAGCAGGAAGCACCAGCCCTCCAGAATGCTAACATAGACGGTGCCTTGTAATCGCATGGGGGTCCCCTCCTGAGTCTAGTCTGGGTTGAGACGTGCTGGGGCTGGGCTGGGAGCCGCTGGCCACTCAGGCCTCCTGGAAGGTTAATCCAGAGCTGTGCAGCCCCCCTGGGACAGCCTTGTCCCCAGCATGAAGAGGCCAGGCAGGGAGGCCCCTGCCCACCCAGATACCCAGGTCCCTGCACCTTAGTGCCATGCTGGAGCTCTCGGTTCCCAGCGGCTTCTGGGGAAACCAGCTAACACAACACAGACGGGCTGTATTTTTAGAAAGGCGTCCTCTCCCCTCTCCCCCATTTTCTCTTCCACCCTTTCTGACGTGTGCACAGTCATCCATCCATCCGGGTGGGGAGCTGAAAGAAGGGCCACCTTGGAAAACTCTTCTCCCATTAGGGCCTTTTTAGCCACCAACCCCCCTGAATACTGAATTCAATTAAAAGCTTTGGCAGCACTGGGGTGTCCCCGCCCTCTCCCAGGCCTGTTATGAAACCACAGTGGAGACCATCCTCCCCAAGGACGGTTCTATTAAAAGGGCTGAGAGTGGGCAGTGCAGGGACAGATGGGCTGTGATGAGGGGGTGGCGGGGAAGGGGGCTGCAGAGAGAAACCTCATAATCCAGAGAGCTGGGGATGTCTCAGCCTGTGGAAAACAGGGACAGCCCAGGGCCCAGCAGGTGATGTGGGGCTCGGGAACAGAGGCCGGAGGGGACATTCCCACAGGGTGGTGGCAGACGAGTTTCTTCCTAAGAAAGTTATGATTTTAAAAAAAGCAGCTAGATGATGTTACAAGAAAATGAGATTCCCATCAGATCAGTATATTGTATGCCTGAAACTTATACAATGTTATATGTCAACTGTATCTCAATAAAGCCAGAAAAAATTTTTCAGAAAAAGAGCGTGAATGTGTTTGTAAATATTCTGGCATCCCTTGGCCCTGAGAAGGTTTTTTTGTTGTTGTTGCGTTTTTGCGGTACACGGGCCTCTCACTGTTGTGCCCTCTCCCGTTGCGGAGCACAGGCTCCGGACGCACAGGCTCAGCGGCCATGGCTCACAGGCCCAGCCGCTCCGTGGCATGTGGGATCTTCCCAGACCAGGGCACGAACCCGCGTCCCCTGCATCGGCAGGCGGACTCTCAACCACTGCGCCACCAGGGAAGCCCCCTGAGAAGGTTTTTAAATGTGTTATTTATGTCTCTAATCATGACAATTGCTATAAAATAAAGTTTAGGAAAATCAAAAATAATAAATAAAAGAGAGTGTGAGATTCCTATCAACCGCCCACAAGGAAGCCTGAGTCAGGTTTGTCAGGAATCAGGGAGCACAAGGCAAATGGGGTGCGAGATCCCAGGGGTCTGTGAAGCAACAGCAAGGGACCTTTTCGCTTTGCCTTTTTTCCCTCTTGATCCCAGATTCTCTAAAGGCAACACAGAGTGTTAGAACCAAATGGGCCTGGGGTGAATTCCAGCCCTCAGCTTCTCGGTGGTCCGGCCTAGAGTCACTGGAATCTCTTCTGTATCACTCACTGCCTAGCTTTATTTTGGGCAGATCACTAAGAGGATTGCTTACCTGCAAAATGGGAGCAGTAGCCTTCCTCTGCCCACCTCAGAGAGCTTTGAGGTACAACAGAGACAACGGATAGAAACATGCTTTTTAAATGGAAGATTTCTGTACCCATTTGGATGGGACAAAAATAACATAAGTGACTGGGGTCCTCCTAACCTTCCTTTGCCTACTTAAGACAACTCTGCAGTTTCTTTTTCTCTTGTCTCCTATTTAAGGAAGGGTTCATACCTGCTGGCAGGGAGGCTCCGCTGATGTTTCAATAAATGGACGGGAAAGGGATGAGGGAGAGAAAGCCCGGGCTCTTTGGCTGGGTGACAGAAAGGAGCTCCCGAGCAGCGTGAAGGTGGGTGGATTCTTTATGAGGAACCGCATTTCTTTTCAATTACTTTTGGCTGCTGATTTGTGCGTCACTAAATGTGATCCTATGCTGTGATTCAGTTACTTTTGGTTGCTGATTTGTGCTTCTTTAAATGTGATTCTATCCTGGGCCATGTGAACCCTCACACTTATTAGGGTTAAAAATATAAACAATTACTATGATCATTCCTGAGCCTTGTCAATAAGTGCTTCAATTCAATTGATCAGTGGCAGTTACACAACCTATGGAATAAAGCAACTGTTGAGTGGGAGCACGGCTCAGCAGTAGTAGGGGGTGTTTGGAAATACACGTGGGGATTTTGGGTTGTCTCAGCAACTGGGGGCTCCTACAGCATTTAGTACCCGGGAGCCAGAGGCGTGGAAGGTTGTGTGAGGACAGTGCTGCCCAGCCAAGCATTGCTCCCCACCCCAAAACACCCAGACCTGTCCCACCAAGAAATGCAAGAGCTGAAGGTGAAGGAAGGCCAGACATCAACAGGGTAAAGTTAGCACATGCAGGCAAACCAGACCTTGTGGGACAGGGAGAAACCAAACTGTAAAAGCGGAAGGGCTGTGGAATGGCTTTTTTTTTTTTTTTTTAACCGCAGGAGTGAGGGGGCCTCTTGGCAGGACATGGTCAAGGTCTTGGTCCAAGATGCCCTGTAGATGGTGCACTCCTGAAAGTCCTGATTATAAGGTCCCGTTATTACAAGAAAAGCCTCAAGCAAATGGAACAGGGAGCAGAGCCAACCTGGCTTGGCCAGCTCTGCCCTGGGGGAGGGGTCTGCGCCACAGATTAAGAACGATGTCGCTAAGGGCAGGCAGACGACTCACGTTCAAGCCTGAGCACCTGAGGTCCTTCCACCCACACCACGCCAGCCCTGTGGTTTGAAAAGAAGCCCCAGAACTCAGGGACCCCAGAAATCAG